CCGGCCCCCACCCCTTCCCCTGCCTCAAAATATCTTTTTGGGGAGGCCTTTTCCCAAAAGAGCAATTCCACAGTGCTTGTCACAAGAGATTGAAAAATGTGGGTTTTATTTTAAACTCCACGGGTGCTTTTGCTGTGTTGTGCTGAGCCCAAGAGCAGCCACGGCTTTGGCAGTGGCGCGGGGATGGGCTCAGTTCCTCTTCTGCCTTCATCACATTCCTGCAATTTGCCTTCCCTGCCTTCATCCTCCCAAGCCCCCCTACATCTTCCTGCATCCCTCTAGTTCACTCCTGGAAAAAATGTGCTGGAAATGCCTGGAATCGGCTGAGTTGCTGGATGCTCTTTGCGTCCCAAATCTGGCCATTTTGGAGCAGCCCTGTCTCTGACCTGCAGACTTGCTGGCCCTAAACCTCTCCAGGCTCCTTTGCAGCAGCCAAGGGCTGCAGTGAGTGGCTCGGGTCCGGCTGGTGGCACCGGATTGCTCGGAAGGATAGAAATTCTTTCCCCTGGTTATCTCAGCCATGGCTGATGGATGTGATGTGCCCATGCTCACCTGCCCCCTGCCATGGCCGTGGCACTCTGGCTGTGAGGGATGGGGGGAAACTTTCCACCTGCCGCTCGGTCCGGTGGGAAACCAGTTTGCTCAAACCTGCGCCCGGATGAAGCCGGGAGCTGAGCACCCCCTTCAGCAGCAGCGGCGCTTGGCACCGCGGGAGGGGTTCAGCGAACCTGTGCTTGGATTACTTGGTGTTAGAAGAGGCTCTCGAGCATGGGGAAGAGCTAGGTTGAAGAAGAGGAGAAGAAGGGCCTGGGATGAGTGAGGTGCCAGGGCTGGCACGAGCAAACCTGATAAGTCACCACGAGGGCCCAGAGTATATCTAAATGATTACTTGGTGTTAGAAGAGGCTCTTGAGCATGGGGAAGAGCTGGGTTGAAGAAGAGGAGAAGAAGGGCCTGGGATGAGTGAGGTGCCAGGGCTGGCACGAGCAAACCTGATCAGTCACCACGAGGGCCCAGAGTATATCTAAATGTCCTTGAGGAGGGCTCAAGCGGGCAGAGCTGCCGGGAGAGTGGCTCTGTTTGTTTTGGGTGGCGTGTTGCTCCCCTTCCTCTCTGCTCGGGTAGCTGATGCCGGATTCCCAATGAATGATTTATCGCAGCACTAAAAATACTCGGGGATTCGCAGTGAGGAACGGGCATCGCGGGCCGCCCCGTCGCTGGGCTGGCCGTGTCGGAGCGTGGAACATGGGACACTGCCAGCGTGGCATGACTCACCCTCCTCCCTCTCCGGCCAAGGGGCCCTGGATCGTGGCTCCTGCGGCTCGGCTGGCTGCAATGTGGGGAGGTGGTGGAGATGCAGCCGGGCAGGACAAAATCCCTTTGGGTGATGGTGGGTGCTGGGGGGGGGATGATTCCCTGCCAAAACCCATGTGGCTGTAAGAGATGCTGCCTGGCGAGCGTCACTGCCCGGCTGGATGCCTGAACCCTCCCAGTACCCCTGGGGGACAGGAGGGGGATGTGGGGCTCACATCTGTCTGGAGGGGACAGCCCAAATCTGCACCAAGCAGCTCTTGCAGGGTGCCCAGCCAGGCAGTCATTGGGTTTATTTCCTGCGTTTTCAGTCCAGCGCGCTGGCGGCGCTTTCGCGGCGTGCTGAGGGGGTGTCCATCACTGCGGCACAGAGGGGTGTTGGGGTGCAGATCCCTGGGGCAGCCCAAACCCTGAAATAGGACCTGGGGAGGGGGTCCACTGGCTGCCAAAGACACGTTAAGCAACAGCAGCTTTTAATTTCAAGTGACGTTTCTGAGCACCAGCTGGCATCTTGCTGCATGGAGTGACACCGATGTGTGGCTGATGCCACCGCAGAGGGCTGCCTGGCCCTCTCCCCGCTGCCCAGTGTGGCACCAGGGTGATGGCCCTGAGGGTAATGGGGCTCAAAGGGCCCTGGCCATAGGTCTTGCCACGGCTCGGGTTTGCTGGTGGGCTCTGAGGAAGGGGGGAGGTCCAGTATCATTGCCATGGGCAGGGATGTGTGCACCCCCTTATGTCACCCACAGTCAGTGGGGTGTTGGAGACCTGGTAGTGGGGCATGCCCAAACACCCCCCTCCCAGAGCCTGGCTTTGGGGTGCAACGGCAGAGACGCAGCACAGCGGGTGTCTCTGCTGGGTGGGCAATGCCAGCGGGGGACACACACCGAGGGGTTTAAAGGCGAGCAGAGGGGAAAGCTGAAGGATGGTGTCTGGGAGGGGGAAAGCTGGAGTTAAGTGGCACTTGGGTAGGGATTTGGGAAGTAGCAGCGGGGAGGCTGGGGCAGAGCGACAGGCAGGGGACAGGCAAGGGACCAGCTGCTCCAGTGACTGTGTGGTTTGCAAAATCCTGACATGGGTGTTGCAGAGCTGAACCCTCCCTCAAGGGCAAAGCCTTGAAATAATGGAAGTGGCTGTGGGCTGTGGGGACAGGCACTGGGAAGCTACCAGCTCATTCCGTCACCTCTCGCTCCTGTCCCAGTCCTTGGCCGAAGTGGTAATAAGGAGCATCGTAGCAATGACGGCTTTTGGAGAGGGGGTAGAGGTGGGAGGGCAATGGGAGGGGGACCAGGGAGGAGGGGAGGTGGGAAAGGAGAGAAAGGTTGGTGGCTGGTGGGACTAGGGACAAGGGACAGGGCACTGGATCGGTGCCGTATGGTGGGTGGCAGGCACAACCCTGTAGTCGTCCCTCCACCACGTCCAACCTCCAAAGGACGAGGACGAGGGTGTCCCTCTCTCCCGGGACGCTGCTGGGGAAGGCTGGAGCGAGCAAGGGTGGGGATCCTGGTGAGCTGCTGGATGCGAGGGGCTCTGTCCCGTCCTGGCAGGGACGCGGCGGTGGACATGGGCAGAGCGCCGGCGCACACTCTGCTACTGTCGATGGTGCTGGGCTGCTCGGCTGCCTTCACGGACCTCCCCCCGAGGAGCCGGTGGTCAACGTGGCCGTGGTGTTTGGAGGCACGTCCTACCCTCTGCACATCCGATCCCGCCTGAGCCCCCAAAGCTTCCTGGACATGCCCTTGGAGATCCATCCCATCACCGTCATCGTCAACAACACCAACCCCAGCACCCTCCTCACCCAGATCTGCAACATCCTCGCCAGCCACAAGATCCATGGCATCGTCTTCGAGGACAACGTTGGCACGGAGGCCGTGGCCCAGATCCTTGACTTTGTCTCCTCCCAGACACAGGTCCCTGTGATCAGCATCAGCGGGGGCTCTGCTGTGGTCCTGACCCCAAAGGTGAGGCACTCGCTGGCGGTTATTTCTGGGAAGAAATGAAGGGTGGATGTGGGCTGTGAAATGCTGGAGAAGCCTTCCTCGGCTGTGGCAGTGATCTCAAGTGCACCACAAGCCGAAACAGGATTTTTGGCTTCTCTGTTCCTCATTGGCGTCAGGTGCTGTCACTGTCACTGTCACCTGCCTGCCAGGAAGCGCTGGCAGCAGGGAGAGCTGAGGCCTGGATGGAGGGTGCTGGGCGGGCAGCGATGGGCTGCGGTGAAGCTCCCATCCCTCCCATGGAGGAGATTTGGGTTCTCTCCTCCTGGCTGCTCATCTGACCCTGCCCAGAGAGGGCACCAGCGGGGTCTGGGTGTGGGCTCCTTCCCACAGCAGCAGCTCCTGGGATGGAGACCCTGCTGCTCCTCAGGCACTGGTTTCGTGCTCCTCTTGCCCAGGTTTTGGGGTCTAAACCCCCCTGGATAGCACCTCGGTAGTGGCAGTGGGCTCGGGTGGATGCAGAGGGCTCAGGTGGGTGCAAAGGACTCGAGTGGAGCCCTGAGCAATTAGAGGATACCTGTGTCTTTGCTGCGGGCTGGATGTTTTTCTGCAGCTTTCTCTGGGGGTTGGGTATTTCGGGGATGATGGAGGGACCTGTCTGAAGGCTCGAGCTCCTCCTCCTCCCATGGGGCCGAGGTCCCTGGCAGCTCCTACTCCCTGGCCAGGACTCTCTGGGGCTCACCCCTCCAGCCAGACCACCAGCCTTGTTGGAAAAACTACTTCAGGATGGCAAAACCCTGCTGCCTGCACGCGACTTTCTGCAAATGCTGTTCGCTGAATCATTTAAGACAGAATCAGATCAATTAAGATTTGCTAATGAGAGGCCAGATGGCCGGGGAGGTGGGGTGGGAGGGAAGGAGCCGTGTGGGCAGCAGGTAGCAAGTTGAGGCTGGGATGGGATTTATGCTCCTGGCAGAGGCCTTGCCCCCCCTGCTTCTCCTGGTTTAAGGAGAAATTGTTGGTCTCCTTTGGAGAATGGATGAATTTTTGGTCAACAAGCTGAGAAACAAAGGAGAGGCCACAGCCTCTGACTCTTTGCATGGGATGAGGTTCCTTGGAGCCCACCAGTGGATCAGTCCCATTTTGGGTGTCTCCAGCCCACAGACTCACTCCATTTCATGGCTCCCTAGAACCCTTCATGATGGCAAGTTCAAGGTGGCTGCACAGGTGCAAGAGACCTGGACCATTGTGCTGGAGCAGCCCCTGACCCCTTCTCCTCCTGCAGGAGCCTGGCTCGGCTTTCCTTCAGTTGGGTGTCTCCATTGAGCAGCAAATCCAGGTGATCTTCAAGGTGTTGGAGGAATACGACTGGGGCTCCTTCACCGTCATCACCAGCCTCTATCCAGGCTACAACATCTTCCTTGACGTCATCCGCTCTTTTACGGACGCCAGCTACTTCGGCTGGGAGCTGCAGGAGGTGCTCACCTTTGAGATGAGCCAAGAGCAGAGCAGCTCCAGGACACAGCGACTCCTGCGTCAGATCGATGCTCAGGTCCTCATCGTCTACTGCTCACGAGAAGAGGCTGAATATCTCTTCACCATGGCAGAGCAAGCCGGACTCGTGGGGCCAGGCTACGTCTGGATTGTGCCCAGCCTGACGGTGGGCAACATGGAGGTGCCACCCTCCTCCTTCCCCGTCGGCCTCATCAGCGTGGTGACGGAGAGCTGGAAGCTGAGCCTGCGGCAGAAGGTGCGGGATGGAGTGGCCATCATCGCCATGGGAGCGGCCAGCTTCTTCCGGGCCCACGGCTACCTCCCCGAGGTGGGACGGGACTGCTGGACCCCCGCTGGGACCACCACTGCCAACGCCAGCTTCTACCAGTAAGGCTTGGGGACCTGCTGGGTGGGTGTGAAATGAATGGGAATGTAGAGAGGGAATAGGAAGGGGGAGGAAGGTGGAGCTCAGGGGCAGGGGGTTGGTGCTCGCTGTAGGCTGCAGCGGGTGGTCAGTCACAGAATCACAGAATCACAGAATGTTCCCTGTTGGAAGGGACCTCTGAAGATCATCTAGTCCAACCTTCATCCCAGCATACCTAACCACTACACCACAGCCTCAAGTGCTAGATCTACTTTTTTTTTAAACACCTCCAGGGTTGGTGACTCCACCACCTCCCTGGGCAGCCTGTTCCAGTGCCTCACCACTCGTTCAGTAAAGAACTTCCTCTGAATATCCAATCTAAACTTACCCTGACGCAACCTGAGGCCATTTCCCCTTGTCCTGTCATTAGTCCATTAGTCCATTGTCCTTCTTGGCTGGGTTTCTCCTGGAGCATCTCCCCAGAGCAGCCCTTGTCTTCTTCCGTGCTCCTCTGCACAGCACCCACAGGGGTCTGGGAGGGGTTTCACAGCTCTTGGGGCTGCTGTTGTAGTCTGTGCATCCTGCCCCCTGCAGCGATCCACCCTCGGTGCCTCCTTGCTGGCAGGGCTTTCTCCAGCTCCCCACTACCCCTCACACAGGGGCTAAATCTGGCCTCCAGCTCTCGGCCCCACATCTCTCTCTGTTGGACCTGTGGCAGCCTGGCTGGAGGAGGAGGAGGAGAGGAGCTGTAAAGGGCTGGGCTGCACAACCAGGGGCTTACAGGCGCTGTGTCCCATCAGGCACCTCCTCAACGTGACGTGGGAGCACAGGGACTTCTCCTTCAATGAAGGTGGCTACCTGATCAGACCCACCATGGTGGTGATCTCACTCAACCAGCACCGGCTCTGGGAGATGGTAGGACCCCCAGGCTCTCCGGGATGGGCACAGTGGGAGGGTGACCGGGCAGGGTGAATCTGAGGCCACGCACAGGCTGGGGTCCCACCCTGGGGCAGGTTGTCACATGCAAAACCTATGGCTCTTACCAAAAGTACCCATTGTGACAATGCTGGTCACCAAAGTTCTGCCAAGAACTGATTTTTTCCCCCACAATTTGGCTGAAAAGTTCTGAAAGAAGCAAAAATGCAGCTGCCCACCTCTGGAGAACGGCAGCCAGACACCCAGACCTGAAACAAGCTGCACAAAGGGTGGTTTGTGGTTTGTTTGGTTTTTAGTTTAAAAGTCTTTTGGCCAAATTTGTACTCACCCAAGCCCAGTGCTCAGGGCCAGGAGGAAACACATCACCCCGTGGTCAACGGGTGCGCAGAGAAAGGGATGCTGAGATAGGTCTCAGCACGGCTGAGCTCCAGCCTGGTCATGCTCTGGGTGATGTGGGGAGGATGGACATGGGACCCACGGAGCCCCTCACCGGGGTGACAGTGCGTTCTCCCTTGGGGGCAGGTGGGCAAGTGGGAGAAAGGCATCATCCACATGAAGTACCCGGTCTGGCCGCGTTACGGCTCCTTCATGCAGCCCGTGGCTGATACCCGCCTCCTGACAGTGGCCACGCTGGAGGAGAGACCCTTCGTCATTGTGGAGAACACAGACCCCAGCACCGGGGTCTGCGTGCGCAACACCGTGCCCTGCCGCAAGCAGACCAACTCCTCCCAGAGGTGAGCAGTGAGGATGGACATCGGCAATTCTGGCCACCGATCCCCAGGCACGTGGTATCCAGAGGCTACCAAGGTGCTCAGAGCATCTTTGGTTGGTCCAATCCGTCTTTCCTGGTGTGGTTTCAGTGGCGATGGTCTCGTAGACCCCTACACCAAGCTGTGCTGCAAGGGTTTCTGTATCGACATCCTGAAGAAGTTGGCCAAGGCGGTGAAGTTCTCCTATGATCTCTACCTAGTGACCAACGGCAAACACGGCAAGATCGTCCGCGGGGTCTGGAATGGCATGATTGGTGAGGTAAGGGTGGGCATGGCTCGGACTGCACCTTTAGCCCTTCCTGGGGGGGCATCACTTGCTCAGGGCAAGCCCTGACCTGGGGATTTTCTGCTGGAGACAGGGCCAGGGTGTCTGCAGTGGGACTCTGGGCAGGGGACAGCTTGGCATGAACTTACAGGCAAGCCTTAGTGGAGGAGAACAGGGAGAACATTTACAGCAGAATATTTACAACACCACAACTGATTGTATTTGTGCCACTCGTCATTTAAGAAGCCAATTTTTTTTTTTAAATAAAAAAAAGTTAAGGTTGGAAACGCTGGAGATAAGGAGATGCCTGGGGAAGGTGGTTTGGGTGCCCCTGCCTGTCCATCTGCCCTCCTGAGACTGTCTGCCCCTTCCCCAGGTGTACTACAAGCGAGCAGACATGGCCATCGGCTCTCTCACCATCAATGAGGAGCGTTCTGAGATCGTGGACTTCTCCGTGCCCTTCGTGGAGACGGGCATCAGCGTCATGGTGGCCCGGAGCAACGGCACCGTCTCCCCGTCCGCCTTCCTGGGTGAGCCGTGCATCCCTCCCTCTGTCTGTCTCTCTGTCTGCAGGTTAATCCTGTATTTCCGACAAATGCAAATTAGAAGTATCACTTGGTTTTAATAACTTTTAAGAAAAAAAAGCCTGAGTCATAAGGGAAGGAGATTGTGGCACCAGCTTTGGGGCTTCCTCTTCGCCTCTCCTGAATAATCCTTTTATTATGGAGCTGAAGACGGGGATCGGTGATCTCCTTTTCTTCATTACTTGTGTGGAAGAGGGAGGACAGTGATGCGGAGGGAGACGAGGCAGGAATTTGCCAGGTCTGAGCTCTGCTTGGGGAACTCCTTCTCTGCCACTGTCACCAGAGCCCATAGTTAAGCTGAGTGTAGGAAAACACCAATGCCAAAAGTTTTACTTAACGAGTTTTTTTAAAAAAGCAAAGCTGCAGCCTAGGGAGGAGAGGAGACTGGCCAAGGTCGTCACAAAATTCAGCCTGAACCCTCGGGCAGCGCTCTCGGCTCTCAGCACAGGCATGGCAGCAGCGTCCT